TAATGCGTTTTCAATCCCTCCTTGATTTGGACTCTTCTTTAATTTTGGCGAAAAAGTTTGAAAGCCTTATTAATAAGACATGAGGGAGGCTATATATATATATATATTGTGTGTGTGTGTGTCAAGCACAAGTTGGCATCATAAAGTCTTTTGGTTATTCCAAGCGTTCAATAGATGTCTTTTGGTTCCCCCCCCCCCCCCAAAGCTTTCAATGCCATTCAGGCCCCCAAACGAGAACGTTCGGTGTTCAAATTAAGTGTCTATATGAGATTGAAAATACTATTATTTTGATAAATAGAAAACAAAATTAAAGCAGAATTATTTTAATTTTTATTTAGTATTGGTTAATCTAATTCAATTCAATCAATATGAGTTGGCTCAATACTTATAATAACAGTCATTGCTTTCAAAAATGATAAATTAACCTACCCATCATATTCCATTGCTATTTTGCCTAAAAGAATCATACATCATCGAGTTATTCATTACTTGCAATATTAAATAATTAATTTTTTTCATTAGCAGTTTTTATTATTTCTTACTCATTACTGGTGCATTCTTGATGCATTTACCAGGTAAATGGAGTGATAAGTGATAACGAATTCCAATTATTTCAAATTCTTTTGGCCAGAGACTTGGTCAAGAAAGGAAAAGAAACAATTGTTAATCTGGTCATCAACTAGGGCTATGAGCTGACTTTAAGAACTGTAAACATCTTTTCGAGTTTGCTCACTGTTTTCTCTTGGACTATTTCCGCATATTCCTGAAAAACTTGTTCATTCCACATGCCAAGACAAACGAATAAAATTATCAGGGGTAATAAATGTACTTACGTCTTAATGTATTCCCTCCATTCAATATTACAAAGAATTTTTCTAAAGCATCACGTACAAAAAAATATAATGCATTTTGGATCTTTTTAAGGTACAATTAATATGATTTTTTTTAATTCCTAGTTTATGAAACACTTTTTGATAAAATTATGTATTTTTGCTTCTCAATTATTCGTGCAGATGCATACATCTTGGTATTGTATAATTTTTTTGTGGTGTAATGTCTCCTTTCAACATTTAAAGATAGTGCAATTTTGACCTTACCATTAAAAATGTTAAGTTTGATTGCTAGTTAAATGAGAAAACAATAGAAAAATACCTCAAAAAGTACATTAAAGAACCCTATAAGAGAATTAATATCAATTAAATCATATAAATTCTGAGAGGCTAATATTATTTCTTACATATGTGAAAGACCAAAATACCATTTAGACTCGCCACTTTCACCAATTACTTGGTGATTATCGGATTATCATTGCAGGAAATAACATCGGTAATAATTATTAAATATTAAAGTGATTATCAAAATTAATATCAAATATCTCAAAAAGTACATTAAAAGACCCTATAAGAGAATTAATATCGATTAAATCAAATAAATTCTGAGACTATGTTATTTCTTACATATGTGAAAGACCAAAATACCATTTAGACTAGCCACTTAACCAACTACTAGGTGATTATCAGATTATCATTGCTTGCAACAGCATCAGCAATAATTATTAAATATTAAATTGTTAATGTTTTAATAATATATTATTCCAACAGATATATTTTTTTTAATTAATTGATATTGTTGTTACGACAATTGAGATCTAATAATCATCTGGTAAATTATTAAAGATCAAGAATGCTTTTGCATGAATAATTGAAGATCAAGAATGCCCTCTAACCTTTTTTTTTACTTGTTATTACTTAATTAAGACTGATCCATTTCCTTAATCAATTTATACCTGGTAAATGGAGTGACTTGAAAAGAAAAGAAATAATTGCTAATTTCGTCATCAAATATCGAGATGGGTTGACAATGAGCTTTGAACAGTTCCTAATTATATATATATATATATATATATCCATGAAACGATCGACAATATCAATGACGTATAGAAACACCACTAAGGCGTAATAACTGAATTTACATCTCCATAGATTATTGCAAGGAAAGAATATTTTCCTTCTCTCAGTAAAGCTGTAAAAATGTATGGGATAGACTCTCCAGTCAATATTCATGGCTATATTGACCTCGTCTTCATCTTATTTTAGTTGGATAAATTAATGTTTCACTTAGATTTGATATATATGTAACTTCAAAAATTTCAGGTCTAAAAGTTCAAGAATAAGCTTAAATTAAATAAACTACTGAACCTAGTTGAGAAGAAGTCCAAGAAGTCCTTAAAAAGATAGAATCAATCTCAGAGACCAAATCACAAATTGAAAGTTTTTTGGAGTAAACGTGTAAATATTTCAGAAATTACATGAAAGTGCCCTGAACTAGGAAATGAGCCAATTAAAATCTAGAAGAGTCCATGATAGGCTATATAAGGAATTAGTAAGGCCTAGCAGAGCAATAGTGGCGTTTGAGATATCTTGAAAAATAATAAGTATAGTTTTCAGATTGCACAGAGATCAAGTAATTTGAAAATTTTATTTTTAAATCTTGAGTCTCTTAAACAAAGGTTGTAGTTAGATCCTAAGGGTCATGAAAAATCGTCCTAGATGGGGCCCTAAGTAGATTTCATGGTTGTAATAGACCTGTCAAAAGTTGATTAGCCACAAGCTAATTAAAGTAGTTTTCTAGGTTTAATGTTTGTGAGAATGTCATTAAAGTCCCAAAATAGGAAATTAATAATAGTTAGATCCCCGATAAGATTTTTTGAAAAACAACTATAAATATTGATTTAGATAGTTTTAAATTTAAGAGTTTCAATTAAAAATAAGACATTTAAATTTTAAATATAACTTTCAATTTACAATTGCAATTCCTGTTTGCAGTTATTTAAATCAATATCTGAAATTTATTTTTTTAGAAAATTTGCCAAGGACCTAACTGTCATTAATTCTCTATTTTGGGACATTATTGTCATTCTCCCTTAATGCTTAACGGGTCAATAAAGAAGATTTAACTGGCAAGAAGATGGATGCTTGTTACTTAAAGATTATGATTATTCATTAAAGTACCATCTGGGCAAAGCCAATACTATGGCCCCCAAGCAGAAAAGATATAAAGTATGCAAGATGTTATCATGATCATAATCACATAGTAGGAATTGCTAGAGAAGTTTTGAGATATGAATATAGCTAGTATAGTGGTTACTGTGAGTTAATATGAGTAGATATAGAGATTAGAGCAAAGAGAATGAGATTAGTGCAATGTAAATCTTGCACTTACTCAAGCCGTTTGGGATTAGCTCAGGTGGTGATGAGATGATATATATTTATATATATAAGTAGCTAAGGATTTAAACCTTCTAATACAATATTTTTAAAAAAATTACTTATGTAATATTCATAGTAAAATTTAAAAATGTTTCATTTTAATTTCAAAATAAAGTATTGAATTTTATGAAAGCTCTTGTTCCCATATTTATCACATATGAATAAATACATTCATTTGAATATCTTATCAAAAGATAAACTTTTTTTCTGGTGTTGCTTTTTCATAAATAGCAAGACAAAGCAGGCACGGGATAATAAAATGTACTCCTTATTTGTTGATCTAGACTATAGCTTGAAATATATATATATATATATATATGTATATATATAGAATGTAGTAATATCATAATGATCATCCTCAAGCCTTAGCCTTTTTGCAAACAGGTTTGTTCGCATGATTATTGTTGTTTCTCAACGGTAACCCTAACGGTCATGTATCCTCTTATTTTGATAAATTTCTCAACGGCATTCTTTTTGACATTTAAAAAAGGTAGAATAAATAATAACAGATGTTTAGTTGCTTCGTTTTGTTTTTCAAGTTGTATAAATATATCTAATGCTATTGTTGAATGCCGTTTCTTCTAAAATGTTTTCATCTCTCCCTTATTTCGTTTCCACTTGGCTGTCCAGCCTTCTTTTCCCGCCATCTTCAAAAAGATTAATTAATTAATTGAATGAATTGGTGGTTTCTATATCTGACTTAATCAACTAATATATATATATATATATAGGATGATGAAACATAGGAAGTAGAAGAAAAACAGTTTAATCATCATTGGTAAACGCAACCGTACTAAGCCCATAATAGTTATGGGCTTCACGGCTTTAAAAGCAATAATATGACTTCTTATGAATTTAATAAATTATATTAATTATGCATACATTTACTTTCTTTGGCTTTAAACTTAAATTGAGCATAATTGACTTAAAATTGAATCATATGAAAATAACTTTTGTTAACAAAAAGGAAATTCACTAAAGTAAAGACATGCCTCCAAGTTTAGCCAAATCCTTACCAAACTAAACTAACCTATATTGGTACTTACAATGATATATAATGATGACCCCTAGAAATTTAAATTTTTTGATAAACCCCTAGTAATAGCATTAATTTATTAGTTTACCAGATAATTAACCATGATTAATGACAATAAATATAACCTCTCACTTTTTTTGTGCGTATATGCTTAAAGTTTGAATTATATATCTCTATATAATGCACCAAAAACATGACAAGTTTTGTTCGTAAAATAACGGAGTAATCTATAGTGGCAAGTTATTTAAAACAAATTTTGAAGTTTGGATCGGGAAGGGTTTTACCTGCGCTTTATCCAAAATTAAGTAGATAAATTATAATATGGCCAAGTCTTTATATTAAGAGTTCAAGATGACCTTTATAAAAATATCAAATTATTTTTAGACTATTACATGATAAGGAACAAGCGTGATTTTTTAATCAGAATTATGCGTCCGGAAGGAAAATTGAGTTCACAAGGAATATATATATATATATATATATACTTATCCAGCACAATATACCTTTGTCTTATTAGAAAGAAAGAAAAACTTTGAATTCGTCTTCAAGTTCCCATAGCCTACAAGTTATACCAAAAGAATAAGTTGACCAAATCAAAGCAGCATATTAAAACACACTACAAATCATATCAGAGCAAGTGTGCCTATAAATAAAGCATTCATTTGCATGAATATAACACGAACTTGAAAGCCTACTGTACAACGTCTTGCTTGCAAATTTCAACTTACAAGCCCATAGCTAGCTTCTATTTTTGCAAGCCATGGAAACTCCTGTAAGGTTCTCAAGTTGCAGAGGCGTGGCCTTTGAGGTCAGGCCTCATGCAGATCCATTTGCCATAGCCACACCTGCTCAGCCAGAACCCCATAGAAACAATGGCTTTTGGCCTTTTTCTTCTTCCAAAGTGTTCCCTTCTTCTATTCAAAGATCTGTCAGCAAACCAAGCAGCCATTTTTGTGACCTTGAACCAGAAGATGATGATGACACTACTCTTGAAGATGTCCCAGAAGAAACCTACGACGTGGAGAACCAAAAGCCTGTCATGATCCCACTTCCTAGCAAGCGTGAACAAGTGCAGCCATCGAAACCACCACGAAAGAACGGATCGAGGCTGTCAATCATATTGCTAGATCAAGGTCTTTTCACTGTATACAAGAGGCTTTTCGTGCTTAGCTTGACCCTCAACATTACTGGTCTGGTTCTTGCAGCAACAGGCCATTTCTCATATGCAAGAAACAGGGCTGCTCTCTTCTCCATTGGGAACATACTCGCTTTGACTCTATGTCGAAGTGAAGCCTTCTTTCGTGTGGTGTTTTGGGTTGCAGTGAAGCTCCTTGGGAGGCCATGGGTGCCTCTTCTTCTTAAGACTGCTACGACCGCTCTCCTACAAAGCGTTGGAGGCATACACAGTGGTTGTGGCTTTTCCTCAATTGCTTGGCTCGTATATGCTTTGGTTCTCACTCTCAAAGACAGAGACAACACTTCACCTGAGATCATAGCCGTCGCCTCTGCCATTCTCGGCCTTCTCTGTCTCTCTTCTCTCGCAGCATTCCCTCTGGTTCGCCATCTCCATCACAATGTGTTCGAAAGAACGCACCGTTTTGCTGGATGGACTGCTCTTCTCCTCCTCTGGGCGTTTATCATACTCACAATCTCCTACGACCCAAAATCAAAATCCTACACGAGCCACCTCGGTTCTTGGTTGATCAAAACACAAGAGTTCTGGTTGACTATAGCCATCACAGTCATTATAATCATCCCGTGGTTGACAGTCCAGCGTGTCCGCGTCAACGTCTCCACCGCTTCCGGCCACGCCTCGATCATCAAATTCGAAGGAGGAATCAAAGCCGGAATCCTCGGAAGAATCAGCCCTTCACCGCTCTCAGAGTGGCACGCCTTTGGTATAATCTCAGACGGAAAGAAAGACCACATGATGCTTGCCGGTGCGGTTGGAGACTTCACAAGATCTCTGGTCTCAAACCCACCAAGCCATCTTTGGGTTCGTCAAGTTCACTTCGCAGGCCTGCCATATCTGGTAAACATGTACGAGAGGGTTCTGTTGGTAGCCACTGGTTCAGGAATTTGCGTGTTCCTGTCGTTTCTGTTGCAGCCATGTAGAGCAGAAGTGAACTTGCTGTGGGTGGCGAAAGGGATTGAACAGAACTTCGGGAAGGAGATAAAGGGAATGATGAGTGGGCATCCGAAAGAGAAGGTGATAGTTCATGACACTGCTGTGCTTGGGAGGCCAAACGTGACTGAACTCAGTGTGAGCACAGCGAAGAGATGCGATGCTCAAGTGGTCATCGTCACGAGCAATCCTGAAGGAAGTAGAGATGTTGTGAATGCTTGCAAGAGAGCTGGAATTGCAGCTTTCGGACCCATATGGGATTCTTAATTAGCCTTGTTTTCTTCTCATGGTTTAATTATATTACTGGTACTGTCGAAATGTCGATTAAATAAATAATGCTCTTTTCTTCGGTGTCCTTGTTCGTGGACATAAATGGTAGTTTTCTACCAACTACTGCATAAGATGTATTAATTTAACCAATGGTCTCGACTTCGAGTATTGGATATGATGTTAAATAGTCATTGATAGAATTTTGTTGCTAATAAGATCCTACCCAACTCAACCCATGAATAATGGACAATTGTATCAAAAAAATGAGGAAAAACATATGTTTCGATTCATGCACTTTGGTTGTATTTTGTTACAGGTCTTACACTTTTTTCTGATATTCTGAATCTCTACGCTTTTATTTTCAAGTATTTTAGGTCATTCTAAATTTCCTACACTTTATTCATTGAGAGATTTAGAACACCAAAAAATAAAAGTGTAAAGATTAAGAATACTAAAAAAAAGTGTAGGAACCTATGACAAAGCACAAGCAAAATGCAGGGAACAAAAGATATGTTTTTTTAAAAAAATAATAGTAGTTTCCCTTTTTTTCCCCTTTTATTTTATACCTGTGTTTCAAAATTATATAATGACAGGCACGACTCTTTCTTCTCTAAACTGTTTTCTTATCCAGGAGTTTTGTTGTCAAGCCGAAAAGGTTGTAATTAATCAAACTAATTAAATACGTTATTGCGGCTACAATTGTGTAGTGACCATGTACAAGGCTCGTCCGATAAAGGGAGAAAGAAAGTTAAATTTTAAAAGATATAATAATAAATTAAAAATTAATTGTAAATAGTTTATACTTTTACAATTAATATTCTCATATGTAATTGTTTGAATCAATATTTATAACTTTTAAAAAGAAAAATTGTCAAGAACTTACTATGATTAATTATGATAAAACACAATGGCGTCATATATTATATGTAGCCAACTTTATCTAGTAAGATAAGACTTATCATTATTGTTATTGTTGTTGTTATTGTTGAGATTTTAATATCATTTTCGTTCCGCTAATAAGAAATTTTGAGTGTACTTATTCCAACCGTCAAGTTCAACGATCTCGCAATAACAATTTTATTGTCACTGTCTCAACGTATCAATATTAATTGGATAGCTTGGACATCTTGTGGTAAGCGTTTCTCACTCTGTCTCCAAAAGCGAATATAATTTTTTCGAAACTTATCTCAACGAGTCACTATCTTACAATTAGAAGTTTGGTAAGAAAATAAATTTAATAGCGTTAGCAACACTGTACGTACTACGTACCTAATGATCTGGAAAACTTCATCTGCATCATATATTTTTAGCGGAAAATTACTCATAGGTCCCAGTTAAAAAAAATTAATTACTAGCAGTTTTCCTAAATTTGATTTAATATTAATATGTAAGGGATTTGGGAGTACTTTGAAAGGATGGGAAATTACTCCACTGCCCATCAAGTTCCATGTACATTTGACTACCATTTTTTTTTTTAAGTTTTCCAAAGGTATTATCCCAGTGAAAGTAATTCTCTTCGAAGTACTATCGAGTACTCGATACGAGTACCGTGGTTAGTCATCGGCTAGTGTTGACAAGCTTGCCCATTGCTATTGATGGATCGTGGGCCAACATTGTTTTGTCAATGGACGATAAAAATAATAATATTTTTTTTATTTTTAAGATTTTCTATTATTTTCTTATTTACAAGTCAAACTTGGTCATTTTGTGATTTTAGGATTTACAAGTTAATCCTCTATTTTTATGCACAAATTCATAATATTTTCATTCATTTTAATTTCTTATTAATATGCATAATTCATAATAACCATTATTATCAGAGGAAATATTGGTTGTTCTAAATTTTTATTAAAGAAAAATTTCATGAAATTACTTGTAAAAATTGTAGAAAATTTTGCAAAAAGGAAAATAAAAAATTTAAACTACCAATATTTCCTCAACTAATAATTTTTAATATATTCACAAAAAATTAAAAATAATAAAAATGTTATAAAAAAAACCAAAGGAGAAACCAATAGTTTTGAAAAAGGATTTTACTGATGTAGCAATAAAGTCTCAGAGTATTGCAGGACTCAAACTTAGAGGAAAGTAGGGACTTTGTTATTTTATATATATATAAAAAAAAGCCAATAGCTTTGAAAAAGAATTTAATAACGTAAATAAATAACAACGATAAAAATGATGTACCAAATCTATGAGGCAAATGTCAAGGATCAAGATTCACATCATGTAATGATTTACTCTTTATTTATAGTGACAATCATTCCTAAAGTATCCTAATTACCTCTCAATATATTAGGATATATTTATCTAAGATTGAATTAGCTATTACTAATCCTATTGATACGTTAAACAAACCACTAAGCTATGATCTAAATTATCACAGATCTTAAATTATTCATAATTCAGTTATATGTGTTTATCTTTCTAGGTCCACATTAATTCTTCACATCTTAATGCATCAAATAATCCACAAACAAATTATATAACGACCGTCCATATAATAAGGAATTCAAAAAAGAGAGATAAATATAAATATAAATAATAAGTTTTTGTTGGACAAAAAATCATGTTCAATGGAAAAAATAAATAAAACCAAATTAAAAGAGTAAAATCTATCCCAACCAGACTACTCCTTATTTTGACAGGGATTTTACAAACAACTCATAGAGTTAATATTAAAATTCCAATTAAAAGACATAAACAAAATTCAAAGAAAAGAGAAGAGAAAAAATCTGAACAATTTGAAAATCATTTATTTTTTTAAATTTTAAAAAAGCAAGCCCTAATCTTTTTTAAATCACTTATTGTAGTGAGAATACGTCAAGTGTGACTTTGATAAATTGCCATGATCAGCTAGGCGTCATCAAATCTTATTCTCTGAGTTTCCTTTTCTTGTTTTCTATCTTCTATGACGTATCTCTGGGAAGAAAATTATATTTATATACTTATTAAGACCAGTTCTTCTACGTAATAAACATACTATACCGTATTTGTTGGTGAAGTCAGGTCTCTTTTGTGGTTAACGTTGATTAGCAGCTTCACTAATCATTTTTTATATATAAAATAAGAAGGAAAACAAATGCTGCAGCTTGATCTCATCCTGACGGGTTAATTAACCAGCCGCATGAAAGACTATTTCAATATATGTGTGTTGTATTGATAACTTCAATACTTAGCTAACTATGTATAAATCATATGATGAAAATTAATTGATTGTTGAAAAGTTAAAACACAATGATCAATTATTTAACCTATTATGTAATCAAAATATCACGTTTAACTCAATGTAGTGATAGAATTAGTGATAGTGGTGGTGATAGTAATAATAATGATGGTAGTGATATTGATAGTGGTAGTACTGTGGTGGCGACGGCGATGGTGGTAGTGGATGATATTGGAAAATATGAAAAAAGTTGTGGCTCTTCTGTATATCCAAGTAATTTCTACCCTCAAAGTCAAAAAGACTACCTAGAAACATTCATTAAAAGGATGTACTGCCTATATTATTTTAACTTGGATAAAACCAATACACACTCACATTCTCCCACTTATCATTGTCCCCTTTGTGTTGTCTAATTAATAAATGCCATGTGGGCTTTCTAGAAATTTAATTAATTTCTCCAAACTTTCAAAGACTGCTTGAAATAATTGGGAAATGGAATTGGTCGACATGACATTCTTTAGATAAATTCTTTTCCATTGTCGTCCATGTTACTGTTGGTAGTCATCAAAATTTCCTTCCCTGGTTTCGTCATTAAACTTTATAGAAAAAAAAAATTAAAAGTTTTCATTGATTTTAAATTTAGTTCCTATAATTTATTTTATTTTAATTAAACTCTTATAATTTGACTGAGTAAATATATTGGTCCCTAAAAGTTAAATCTTTTAATAAATAATTAATTTTTTTTAAAACAAGGAGACTTTTAAAATTTATAAAAAAGTTAATTAAATACTTTTAGCTAAAAAAATTATTTACTTTCATTGTTTTAATTTTTATGAAAAATTATACACACACATATATATATCATTTAAAAAAATAATTATATAAATTTTGAGTCATAAGTATTATATAATTAATTCTAAATCTATTTGATCTTTTAATCAAAAGTCCTGATTTCATTTTTTAAGAAAAATCAAGGATTTTAACTCTTAAGGATTAACATATTTAATTGGTCAAACTATAAGAATTTAATTAAAATAAAATAAAATAAAATATAGAGACCCAATTTAAAATTAAGGATACGAAAAATTAAAAGGACCTGCAAATTAATTTTTTAATTTATAAATATTAGACTATTAAGTAGTACACTAAGCATCTTTGGGCCATGCAAGGCCTACAAAGAAGATAATTAAAAATTATCCTAGTCCGAATCTTTTATAATTTTATATTTTTCAGCACTAAAGGTTATCTCAGTACTAATTATATTACTGGTTGCTTCTTCTTTTCTTCTTTCACTCAATATTTTGTTTCTCTCTACTTTATATAAACTTTATATTTTACTTGTTCTTTTACACTATTTGTTATTAGGCCATTTTTGCGCACCATCAATTCCATCAAAAGGCTAGAATGTGCTTTGTATAGTTTGGAAGTTTAATGATGTTTTTTTAATGTTTTTTTTTAAATAGAAGCTGCAGATTTTCATCCAGCAAAAAATCCACAAGAACACTCAATGGTCGTCTCCCTTATCTTACTAATTTAATCAAAGATCTTAAGTTTAAATCTTGAAAAAAAAAACAGCATTAAATACTTGATTGTAATGCTCGTTGCTAAAAGAGTCTTACTTGGCTCGATTTAAATTAGTTTGAGCCCCTAAAGTCCTCTCAATTCAATGTGAGACAAACTGAGAACACTAGGTTCCACACATGTGGCGATAATAAAATAAAAAAAAAAATTCTCTTATCCTCTCGTTATATCTCTTGATAAAGGTGATGATTGATTAAATGTGCATATTTAACTATCCATTCTTTGTGGATGTCCAGCTACCCAATAAATCAACATGTGTATCTCGCTTTAATAATTTTTCACAAATGGAGTATTAAATGAAGTTTATATTTTTTTTTTAAAAAAATAAGGTTGTAAAGTATATTTAATAAGTTTTATTGGTATGAGTGATTTTTTCTGAATGTGTTTTATAAATAGGAATGGAAGAAGTATTGATTAATTAGTGAAGAATGCTACATGCAATTAGGGACCCCATAAGACAATTAATGACAATTATAGATTCTAAATTATTAAAATCCCAATAATAGAGCATAGTTAAGAATGACATCCTCTAGAAGCAAATTGTACAAAGGGACCAAACTCATTTTAATATTAAGAAAATCCTCCAATGAAATAACCGAATTGCCCTTCTGTGTTGAACAAATGAAATTTGAAAAAAAAAACACTACTTCTTCATACGCATTCCCTTATCGGAGAACTACCAAAGAGATGAGGTTAAGAATGACTAGGAAGTGGTGCGCATTAGGTCTAAAATACAAATCTATCTTCTGTCGGAAAAATTTGTTGTAATGTAACAAAGGCATGCCACTCTAGTTCGTTTTCCTCTTCTTGTGAGTCGCTTCTTCTCATCTTCACTTCATCTAAACAATAGAGTTAGTTAATCAAAGAAATGTTGCTAGTGTTCTACATGTTTTGAGGAACTGATAACATGAAAGTTGTGATTTTCAAGATATACACTATGTTTTCATGAAAATCAAGGGCATATGATCCCTTTTCATCCATAATTTTCATGACATACAAGTTTCCATGATTAAAAAGAACGAGTTCCTGGAAGAGAGCATAAAGATGTTGTAACTTTCACGTATCCAACCAAATAGAGTACTTTGACATTAAAAAAACATACATTTCATGAAAGCACTATATATTATCCCAAAAGTTATAGGCTTAGGGTTCAAGGTGTAAGGTGATAGGCCCCAATGCAAGCTTTTAGGCTTGGGGGTACAAGAATATAAGTTTAAGGTGCAAAGTGCAAGATGATATGCTTTGGGTGCAGGCTTATAGTCTTTGGGTGCAAGGATATAGGCTTTGGGTACAAGGGTATAAAGCTTAAGATGTGAGGTACAAGGTGATAGGTTTAGGGTGCAAGATTTTAGACTGAGGATGTGAACTTGGAAACTAATAAGCGTGTCCTGTGTTATATGACTTGAATTTCATGTAATCAGTGTGCATTATCATGGTATGATTGATCATTATCATGGTATGCTTGATTGTTATCATGAAATTTATAGGCACTAACATTTACATTCCCTTTGTTTGTTGTGTTTTCATTAATTTATGATAATTATCATGAAAAGTTAGACCTAGTTAATGTAATGTATCATCTTATTGTTAGTTTTACATGACATTCTTCATTTTGGCAAATAAAAAGAAGACATTTTCATAGTTATCATGAAATCTAGGGGTATTGATATTTATGTGTCCTCAATTTCGTGAGTGTTTGTGTAGTTTTTTATAGTTATCAAGAAAGTTTGGGGACACTTACAATAGCATTCTCCCAATTTATGCATTTTTTATGTATACCAAGCCATATTACTTGTAAATGAAGCTCATTCAATAGTTTTTACATGGATTACAACTAATTTTTTCTTCACAACAAGTATATATTAAGGGCAAAATGAATAACAATAATTTTAATGGACAGCATTCATTCCCTTAGATTGGTCTGTCTTCCTGCCAAGTAAAATCAAAACTAAAAACAAAAAGCCTAGGACACCCAATCTTAAAAAATATATAGGTGTGCACATTTGTGGTTACACTTTACTAGTCTCACGGCTTAATTACCTTCTACATCTACCGGACTGCTTTTGTCCAATTTTGTCAGAGAGCACCATCCTAAATCCTTCAAATTCAATACATAAACATGAAGATATGGTGCTAAGCTCATCAATTGTCATTCCTTTTCTTACCATTTGTCCAGGTGCTCTCCCACTATCATATATAAATCCTACTTCAGCTGTCACAATCTTCCCACTTATATGGAAGAAGCAATATGTTTCATTCCCTTTCACACTCATCATTGTACTCTGCAAGAATATGAAAAAAAAATAAGAAGCAGGAGCTTCACATACGAGAGAAGAAAGCAAGGGAGTAAGGAACTAATGATAGTATTAAGCCAATTGATTCTTCGAGTTGTTTTCTTTTTAAGTTTGGGTGCCAGTGACATCCCTCTATGGTTTGGCAGTGAAGGTCCCACAAAAAAATTTCATCAAAACAATATCAAAACATGCAAAAATCACTCTCCATATATGCTTATATAGTTTTACAAGTACATATGTCTAGTAATTTCAAGTTCTAAAACTTCCACCTCTACCCTATTTACAACTCAAGAGAAAATACCTTTACAACTTCTAAAGCCAAGTAGATGTTAGAGGACGCACCAAGACCGAGCAAAATCACATATGCATTGACCAGAAACGCCCTCTGCTTCCTAATGAACAAATAGAGCATGAAGAATAAGCCCAAGAGGTTAAACCACGTGACCTAAATCAACCACCAAACAATTTTCAACATCCAATGAATTATCAAGACACTGACAAACGATTTTAGCCACCGTGCTCGGCTGACGATGGCTGTCAAAGAGGTTGCGCTCATGAATGATGTTGCTCCTCTACATTTGACAACGTTCAACTGCCTCTTGTTCATTTATTATGTTTTTTTAAAATAGAGGGGCAATTTAGTCATTTGCTTATAGGGTTTTCTGAATATTAAAATGAATTTGGTCCTTGAAATTGGCTCTGTCCCTCAGCACAATTTGCCTCTCAATAAGGTCTTTTTTAGCAATTGATCTCCCTTCTTCTTTTTTTCTTCTTAATTTTAATAAAAGATATCAATATGAGCTGAGCTATATAAGTTTGCATATGGCTTCATTGCCGCTGCAACTTCTAATGACTTATTAATTAATTATGAATTTTAATTCTTATTTATTTTTTATGAGATGATGAATTTTTTGTCAATCAAGTTTACTTCAATTCAGTGGCGAAGCTAACATTCTTTGGTAAGGAAATGCGAAATCTTAAAACTTAAGGACAAGAATGTAAAATATTAAAATTTTCAGGGTATGAAGGCAAAATATTAAAACCTATACACTAAATTTATAATTTCTCTAAAGTGAGGGGTGCATTTAATTTGCTCCTCCTCACCACCAAAGTATCTTCGCCATCGCTTCGGTTGTGGATTTTCACAACTTCTACGCATGCCAAGAAAGAAAGAAAGAAAGAAATGGTTGCCGCTTGAGACCTCACAGTCGCATGCCAACTGTCCGAAGATAAACGTCTTCAATCTCTAGCGTTTCCTCGATGACAATTGACAAGACCTACTGTTTCCAGATCTAGAAGTTCAAATCATCCGGTTCTAGAATCATGGGAACTTGGTGGAACATGATGCCTAATCCACTAGAATCATCAATTAAAGGAGGCTTTAGTACCATGGAATTCAGTTTCCTGGCACCATGACGCACAAGTGAGGAATGAAATCAAGTAATAAAAAATAACATACCCCTTCCAGTCTTTATTGTAAAATATTTTCAATCATTTAATATATTTAAAAAAATTAATTTTTTAATATTATAAAAAATAAAATATATTTTTATTTTTATTTTTAAATAATAATATAACTATATTAAATACCTTCAAATTAATAAAAAATAAAATTAAAAAATAATTTAATTATTATAAAGTGTCATATATTTTAAATTAATTTTTTTCGGTGTCTTATGAGGATGGGACACGGAAGCAAGGCCAATGAGGCTACCACCTTAGGCCTCCAAAAAAAAAAATACTAATGTTATATGTATATATCGTGTGTATAATTGACATTTATATTGTTAGATATTTAATTATATATCAAAGGAAATAAAAAGTGTTGATTGTTTTTCTAATCAAAAAAACTTTTATTATTAGGCTAAGCCCATTTTCTAATAGTAAGATGCATGATATACTAATTTACATAATATCATCTTATCAAAAAAAAAAAAGAAATAAATTACATCATATCACTTTGCTCTAACTCTTTTTTACAATCCCACTTTTAATTTAACTTTTCATCTCTCTACATTAACATATGAAAATGGATATTTTTTGTATTTTAATAGGACAATTACGCATGCTAAGTTTTGTTATAAATTTCGTTTTAAGTCTCTAAATTTCTTCTTGCAAAAATCAAGAATCCCATATTGGGCCAAATGCTGCAATTCCAGCTTTCTTGCAAGCATTCACAACATCTCTGCTTCCTTCAGGATTGCTCGTGACAATGACCACTTGAGCATTGCATCTCTTCGCTGTACTCACACTGAGTTCAGACACATTTGGCCTCCCGAACACAGCAGTGTCATGAACTATTACCTTCTCTTTCGGATGCCCATTCATCATTCCCTTTATCTCCTTCCCGAAGTTCTCTTCAATCCCTTTCGCCACCCAGAGCAAGTTTACTTCTGCTCTACATGGCTGCAACAGAAACGACAGGAACACGCAAATTCCTGAACCAGTCGCCACCAACAACACCCTCTCGTACATGTTTACCAGATACGGCAGGCCTGCGAAGTGAACTTGGCGAACCCAAAGGTGGCTTGGTGGGTTTGAGACCAGAGATCTTGTGAAGTCTCCAACCGCACCAGCAAGCATCATGTGGTCTTTCCTTCCGTCTGAGATTATTCCAAAGGCATGCCACTCTGACAGTGGTGAAGGGCTGATTCTTCCGAGGATTCCAGCTTTGATCCCTCCTTCGAATTTGATGATCGAGGCGTGGCCAGAAGCGGTCGAAAAGTTGACGCGGACACGCCGTACTGTCAGCCATGGGATGATTATAATGATTGTGATGGCAATAGTGAACCAGAACTCTTGTGTTTTCATCAGCCTAGTCCCGAGGTTGCCTGTGTAGGATTTGGATTTCGGGTCATAGGAGATTTTGAGCATGATGAATGCCCAGAGGAGGAGGAGAGAAATCCATCCAGCAAAACGGTGAGTTCTTTCGAACACATTGTGATGGAGATGGCGCACTAGTGGGAATGCCGCGAGAGAAGAGAGACAGAGAAGGCCGAGAATGGCGGAGGCGACGGCAATGATCTCCGGTGAAGTGTTGTCTCTATCTTTGAGAGTGAGAACCAAAGCGTATACAAGCCAAGCAATTGAGGAAACTCCACAACCACTGTGTATGCCTCCAACGCTTTGTAGAAGAGCCGTTGCAGCAGTCTTGAGAAAAAGAGGAATCCATGGCCTCCCAAGGAGCTTCACTGCAACCCAAAACACTACACGAAAGATAGCTTCACTTCGGCAGAGAGTTAAAGCGAGTATGTTCCCAATAGAGAAGAGAGCAGCCCTGTTTCTCGTGTATGAGAAATGGCCTGTTGCTGCAAGGACCAGACCAGTTATGTTGAAGGTCAAGGAAAGCACGAAAAGTCTCTTGTATACAGTGAAAAGCCCTTGATCTAGCAGTATGATGGACAGTCTCGATCCGTTATTCTTTCGTGCAGGTTTTGATGGTTGTACTTGATCACGCTTGCTAGGAAGTGCGATCATGACATTGACAGGCTTCTGGTTCTCCACGTCGTAGGTTTCTTCTGGGGCATCTTCAAGAGTAGGGTCATCATCATCTTCTTCTTCTGGTTCAAGGTCGCAGAAGTGGCTGCTGCTTTTGCTGCTGGACCTCTGAATATCGGAAGGAAAAACTCTGGAAGATCCAAATGAATCCCTGTGAAGCTTGGCCTCAAAGGCCAGCTGGCTTCTAAAGCTTGAGAGCTTTGTTGGGGTTTCCATGGAATAAATTCAAAGACAGACTAAACCTTAAAAGAGAAGCAAAGCTAGAAGATAATGTAAATAGTAGTTTGAATGCTGTGAATTCTGAAACTGAGATTTGGAAGCGTGGAAGCTGGCTTTTTTAAAGTTTCTGATCACTTCGTGAAAAGAAATGGTCTATTTATAGCCGCTTTTTTTGGCCCCCTGCCTTTTGGGGGGCGGGAGTGTCTCCAATCCCTAGCCTCCCCCCCCCCCCCCAATTTCCATTTCATTTCTTTAAATTATTAAGAAATGCAGAAAATAATAAAAAAAATAAAAAAAGCACCCTCAATTTGTCAAACCTGTCTTCTCTCCTCGCACACGGTTTACATTGAATATTTTTATTTTATTTATAATTTATTAAAATTAAAAGTATAAATCTTTTTATTAAAACTAGGCAGTAATATGAATAGTCCAAATTTAATATGAATAAATTAAATTTAATATTTATTTTTTTATAATTTTAATATAGATAGTCAATTTATAAAAACTTAAAAAAATAAAAAATTTATTTACTAGTTTGGACAATCTAAATTTAATATTGATGATTCAAATTTAATATTAAAAACTTTTATAATTTTAATATTAAACTTCAACTCTCCACATATAATCTATAAAATTAGTTTATAAAAATTATAGGGTACTTTTGAAGAATTTTTTTGTTTCAAAATACAAGATACTTTGAGTAGATTAAAGTTTCATTAAATGTATCAATTGCAATGTTATTCTTTCTCTCTCTATAATTAATTTCCATCGTTTTTCTTTTCAATATATTAAATAATGGGTATTTTAAAAATTTTATATTTTTATTTTGGAAAGATAATATTATTAAGTGTATTTAATAAGATTTATTGATATATGAGATTTTATTTAAAAATATTTTATAATTTGGGATAGACGGAGTAATAAAAAATATTAAATCTAATTACCGGTTTGAACAATCTAAATTTAATATCATTAGTCCAAACTTAATGTTAAAAAATTTTATAATTTTAATATTGAATCTACACCGTTCAAAATATATCTTCATGGTCAATTTATAAAAAATTATAGCATTAAATTTGGACTACTCATATTAACTATGTACTACCCAAATTAGTAATAAAATATATTGTTTAATTTTTAATAAATATAAAAAAATTTAAATCATGTGCAGGATGATGACAGGGTGATGTTATTTTTTTTATTTTTTTAAATTGTTTTATTTTAAGGAAATGGAGAAATGGAGAAGGGACACCCCCGACCCTTCTTTTGAGGTGTGAACTATTTACTTAGCCGCCTTTTGTCTCTTTCGATTTTGTATTTAAATTATTGCTTTGACTTTGTCAGTCATGACCGATTGTGTGGAAATGGGGAAAAAGGGGCAGAAGGCATTCATCTCCATAGTTTTTTGTTTTTTTTGTTTTACAAAATATGACTTTAAATTCTAATACTTTTTTTTGATATTTTAAATTTATATATTTTTATTTTTTAGTGTTCTAGATTCTTTCATTAAAAAATAAAAATTTAAAATATTAAAAAATTATAAAAATTTATAACAAACTTATAATGAAGTATAACAGTTAAAATTTTTATTTTTCCTTATTTCTTATAACATGTGATTGGGAAACATTCTAATTCTAATTCTCTTAATGTACTTTTTAGATGAATTTTAATTCTTATAACTGAAATTAAATTTGCAAGTTATAACGAAAAAATGATAAATGTTTAAAAAATTAATTTTTCTACATTTGAAAATTACTTTAAAAAAATTCATAAATGATAAATGTTAAAAAAGAAAAACTCTGATATAGGATGTCATTCTTCTCCACCTTCTCGTTGTGGTTTCATTCCATATCTGCTTTGACTAGCTATGGCATATGCAACGAAGTTCCTGTATGAACCTTTGAAATAAATTTTGTTGTGATATGAGTCAATGTTGTACAATAAAAATTAAAAACCTTTTGAATATCAACAATTCTTTATTTCATTGCATGAAATTAAATTCTAACAACCAGCTGTATTATTGGCAATTTTAAAACATAGCAAATTATTATGAATTTTTACATTATATAATGGATAAGTTTGTTTATGCATTAAGCAGAGTTTGAAAAAGATACAACACTTCTCATGAGTTATAGATAGTTTGACTCATTAAATTTTATATGAGAGAATTTTATCTAAGAACCATGGTAATTAACTATTTTTGAAATATATAAAAAAAAACACTCTGAAAATACACTGCTGGTATGGAGGAACTCATTGGAATAAACATTTAGTGTGGAATGACCTGGTTGCCCTAATATTCAAACACAAGTAACGCATGGAAATTAATGAATAATGAATTTTTTCTAGTATTATACTTATTATATGCTAATGAATAATGAATTTTGACAATATATTTAAATGATTGGTGGTTGATAGAGTATAATGATATGGTGTAATCCATGTAACCAAGCAATAAAATTTGTTGTTGGGGTTGTATACATATTATATTGTTTTTTAGTTTTTACTCACAAGTTCTTTACCTTAAGTTCATAATTAATGAAAATATAAACACTTATTGATTTATTTTTATTACGTCGGCCAAACGAATAGAAAGTTGATGTAAAATCAATGTAATAATAAAATAGAAGTTTTGTTTACCTTTTCCTTCAAGAGATCCAAGTTGATATACAAATTTAACCCATTTCACTGAATAGATTAACATCTCATCCAAGTCACTCTCATCAAGCCATAAAGCCAACATATGAATATTCTATCAATTCTATATACTTTTTGGCTTCCATAATTAATTTCAAATTGAAACTATATATAGATGCAGTCTTCTTATAGCTTGTTGAAAAATAATAATGCGACTTGATATAAATTGTATATCTTAATTAATACGTATATACAAAATAAAATTTTCCCAACCAAAAATGATTCAGAAAATATTGCAATAATCATGTGGTCCATGTGGTCTTGTACTATTGTAAATTTTTAATCTTGGTACCTTCTATTTTACTAAAAAAATATGTAAGAATCCAATTGAATATGCGAACAAAAATAATGATATGATAATCTTTTATAAATTATAACTAATTGTAAAGGTTCTAGAAAAAATTCTGGAATATCATTTTGCCAATATATCACCTAGTTATCTGTATAAATATCAAGTATTTGGATCTGACTTAGCCTGGTCAACAATGTCTGCAGATTATACATATATATATATATATATATATTCTCTTATATATATATATATATATATATATGTACACCATATATAGTTGAGCCTTAAACGACAAGTTGACAACAATGGGGTTGAAGACAAGTTTTCATTCCCTAACTACGCAAGTTGCTCATTATACGACTGTATCTGACGAGACCGGAAGAAGAAAGAAAAGAGGGAGGATATATATTTAATATAACCCGGGATGATTTGAAAATTTATTTTTGAATTTCCTATTAAATATAATATGAAAATTATAAAAATAAAATAAAAATGAGAGAAATACAATTATATAATAACATTAAATCAATATGACCAACTAATATACACCCACATTATGAATATTTCCAGGGACAAAAAACGTATCTTTTTTCTATATATAATTCATAGAAAATATACATGTTCTTTGATTTATATCTGAATAAAATGTATTTCGTAAACTGCAGCAATTTGGATTTTAACCAAAAAAAAAAAAAATTGCTCTCATCTCCTGTGTGAGATTTTCATGGCTCCGTCCCATGAGTGTTTTTTTGTCATTGTGCTGTGGTTCCTGGCAACTCTCTCCGGCACGAGCCGACAAGGAGGCCGTCTGGGATGGGGTTAGTTTTTAGGGGGATTAGGGTCTGTTTGAAAACTTATTTTAAAAATAATTTTTTACTTTTTAAAATAAAAAAATAAAAAAATTTATTTAATAATGTGCTTTTAAAAAGTATTTTAAAAAATAAAAAATAAAATATTATTTTGGAGAATAGAAAAATAGAAACAACTTTTAAATGTTTTTGTGATTATTATTTTTAAAAATAAAAAAATAAAAAAAATATCTATTTTTATTATTTTTTAAGTATTTTTTTTATCAAAAACATGTTTTATAAAATATTAATTTTTAAAATAATAAAATAAAAATAGTTTTAAAGCCCTAGGTCTTTCTTTTCTGTGTTTTGGTCGAAAGCTGCTACCATCTATGAGATGGGTTTTTATAGGTTTTAAAGGATTGCCCTCTCTCAAACAAATTTTTTTCATATACACCTCTGAAAATCAAACTTTAAAATAATGTTTAAGAAGTTTAAATTGCTGTTATCTATGTAACATCCACGTAGTGGCTTGTCCCGTGTTGTTTGTAGGGTGGGTTGTTTATTTTTTATTTTTTATCTTTTGGCGCTTGGACCTGTTGCTTTTTGGCTTGCCGTGTGGACCTTTTTGTCTATTCATTAATATAATATTTCTTCTGGCCAAAAAAAATATTTGAATAAAATGGATCCGCAATCTTATTTACATTAAAATATGTGTATTTTTTCTTTTTCTTTTTTTCAGAGAGGCGGCTGCATTCTATATTAGGTGAGGTCAGTTTCTTAAGTTTTGGACAGAGAAGGAAATTTGGTTTATCTTCCAAATTCAAATTATATTGAATAATGAATATCTATATATACAGTGTATCCATGAAATAAAAATGATTATTCCACAACAATCATGGAAACAATAATATGATCCATCATATTCTTGCCGTCGATCTACTCTACCGCAACCTTATATTATTCTAAAACCCTAATTTGATTCTGATAGTAGTAAATCGTAATATTTAGGGTCCTTCTTCCATGATTATCATAATGAGATCTGAATCATTTAAATTTAAAGTTATTTAATTTTAATTTTTTATTTAAATTTATAAAAATAAAAAAAATTATATATAAGTAAGTTATTATCAATTAGAACAGTGTATATTTAATCTGGATGGTCTAATTTAATATTAAAATTTTTATGATTTTTATAAATTGACCATCTAGATATACTATGGATAATATATATTTAATATTAATTTTTATAAATTTTATTTTAATAAATATAATATTAAAAATAATGATAATATCCTAACTAGTACTTTTAAAAAAATATA